TGATTATAAAATTTGATAGTATGTTATAACTGTTAGTTTTGGTTCTAGTTTTTTCAGATATATATTACTTGTATTTACATTTTTATTTTATTTTAATTTTCTATATTCTTAATATCAAAATTCGAATCTTTGATATTTGCTTAAGAAATTTAATGTCTTATCTTAAAGTAAAATCGATATGATTATAAGAGTATTTATAAATAACTTGTCTAGTATTGAATTAACTCAAATCACCAACTCGATCGACTAATTAAAATACGAATAGTGAGAAAATAGATCTCCCCAAAGCGTTGGTCCAACCAGATAGTAACATTAGGAAGAAGAGAGAGAATTATTTATTTGATGTATTATTCGAAAAAATATTGATTGAGTCGATGTTAAAAAGTTAATTCAACACCAATTCAGTTAAAAAATTGTTAGAATATCTTATCTTAAAGTAAAATCGATATGATTATAAGAGTACCCCACAAATAATTAATCTAGTATTGAATTAATTCAAATCACCAACTTGATCGACTAATTAAAATCGAATAGTGAGATTTGTAATATTATTTAATAAATTTGTTATATAAAGATAATGTCAGTGAAGACGATCGTACAATAAAATAAGATATTAACATATTACTTGAGAAATCATTAACAATAAAAATTACATTCAAATAATGTGAAATTTATTAATGTAGAAACAATAAAAACACAAGTTATGCAAAGATTTTAAGGCTTAGTCTACTATCTTCTTACTTTAACTCCTATTATTTATTTACTTATTGTGATAATTGTTTGGTTACAATAAAAACTTATATAAAAAGAAATTAACCTAAATCAGATTTTCTATTTTTAAAACGTCTAACAAAATAAAAAACCATCACAAAGTATGTACTATATTATAATAATATTTAAACTAAATTTGAAGAATAAATTGTTAATGCAAATATACAAAATTTAGAAGAAAACGATGAAAATAAATCATTTGTAAAAAGTTATAATTAGAGGATTAGATTAAATAAAATACAAAATTAATGAACTGGATTGAAAAATAACAATAAATTTGTTTTTTTAAAATAAAGATACGTATATATTCTATCGTGGTTAAGGAACATGCTATTTAAATTTGATTAAAAATATAATTAAAATAAAAAAATAAAACTAAACCACAAATTAATCAATTTATTTAACTAAAATTAAACAAACGAAAATACAATTTTAATAATTGTTCTTTTAATTATTCAAAATTAAATCTAATTTGAATCTAATTTATTAATTTAAATACTCAAAATTAAATATATTTCATAATTGAATCGAATGCCTAATATAAAGGGTAAAAACGTAACTGTACAAACATAAGTCTACTTTGTTATACTACATAAGTCGAAAAAGGAAAAACTAAAGGCGGTTTCTTATGCGGTGTGGCCCAACAAATTAACTGAATCTCAAATGCCGAAAATACTCAAAACATCGGTCGATTTTTACAGTAAAAACCATATTACTAAACACACGAAGTTCAAGGGTTAGAACGTCATTGCCTACAAGCAGATTGGCCCCCACTTAAACAGAAGTCAACTTAGTCAAACACGATAGCGATAAAATAACAAACCTCATAATTTCGAAGCGGGAAAAGAAGGGACATAACGGTCATTTTGTAAAAAGAACACAGAAAAATAAGCCCTTTAATAATAATAAAAAAATTGATATATTTTTTGCAGTTGGGCAGGTAGGTAACAATAAACCCCAAAAGATGGAGGATGAAAAGGAGAGCAACCGTCACGACTCGCCGACGGCGGATGGCAGTGGTTACGGAAGTGGCGTCGATGAGTTGGAGCTTATTGCGGGAGAGTCGGAGCTTGGTGGCCGAGATGGAGGTGGTGATGATGGTAATACTAGGGTGAAAGGGCCGTGGTCGCCGGAGGAAGACGCGGTGTTGAGTCGGCTGGTGACGAAATTCGGGGCGAGGAATTGGAGTTTGATCGCGCGAGGAATTCCGGGTCGGTCGGGGAAATCGTGTCGGCTTCGTTGGTGTAACCAGCTTGACCCTTGCCTCAAGCGCAAGCCCTTCACCGGTGATTCTTCTTCTTCTTCTTTTAAATGAGAATTTGGGTGTTTTTCGTTTAAATTGTTTGCTTTTCTAGAATGGGTAGTTGTTTCCTATGTTCCTGTTGGTTGGAATGAGGGAAGTCAAGATAAGGTGTGTCTTTTTTGTTTGTTTGTCTGATTAAGATAGTGAAAAAGACTGTTTTTCTACTTTTTTTTTTACATTTGGATTAATCTTGATTGCTTGATTATGTTTGGTTATTATGCTGCAACTATTGTTTCCTAATGCTCTAAATTTATTTCTCTGTTACATTGTATTGCAAAGGTTGTATCTTTGTTTCTTAGAAGTAAAAGTAAGTTCTAGTCTAGAGTGTGATACCTATCAGTGCTTAGTCGTAATTGGTGTCAAAAGGGAGAACATGATTGTTGTTCTTGTCTTATGTTTGTTGTTTGAAAATCGTTTGTTTTTAACTTCAATTCCTTTCTTTCTCACGAGTAATGTATGTATCGATGGGTGCCATTGGAATGAGTAGAAGCTGAAATGATCCCTCGCACCCATGATGTCGCATAAAAATGTTCAGGTTATGAGGTTAATGTGTGCATTTAAGAGAAGTTTTTTTTTGCTATTATTCCGGATAGCCGAGAGTGGAAACCAAGTCGGAATGCCAGTTCATTTTATTTGTTACTCTATTCTCTTCTGCTTTGTGTACTTAGAAGAATGCATCTTTACCTAGTTGATCTTAGCGCTGAAGTTCTACGGCCTTTCGTAGGTGTAAAGCATCACATAGAGCGAGATATTTAACAGTGGGTTGGGGTTGAGGTTGTTTTTAGAATTTAGGTTGTTTTGCTTGATTGTTGAACTTTAGGGGAACTCTCTGTAACTCCAATGTCGGATTATTGAATCTGTTTTCTTGGCCGAGTCATATATTATGAATGTATGTTGTCGAGGAAGATGTATGAAGTTTTAAATTTTGAACAATCATATGCAATCTTTTGATAGGAGGGTGGTGTCTCTCGTTTTCTTTTTCATTCTTTGTATCATGAAACTTGAGAGTTTCTTTTCGAGGTGAGCCAGAGGTCTCGATTTTGTTTTTCATTGTCCTGCTGAGAAAAGATGCAGGACGAATGAATAATTTCTTATAGGGGAACTCACTGGAAAAATCTATTATATAAACATCTGCAGATGAAGAGGACCGGATTATAATTTCAGCTCATGCGATCCACGGCAACAAATGGGCTTCAATAGCAAAACTCTTGCCGGGTAGAACTGATAATGCAATTAAGAACCATTGGAATTCTACCTTAAGACGCCGATGCATGGAACTGGGTAGGTTTAAACCTGGACCGGCTGATATGATGGAAGATGGCAGCTTTGAGAGAACAAAAGCTTCCTCGGAGGAAACACTGTCAGCTGGAGATATAAACCACTTCAGGCCTCAAGAAGGAAGAGATGTGGTGATGAGCGATAGACTGAACTTCCAAGAAGACAAACCACCAATACAAGAGGATCAAACTGCCGTTGAACCAAAGGACCATCCTACCGTTTGTCGTCCAGTTGCCCATGTTAGTGCATTCAGCCGTTATAATGCTCGTAGCAATTCTAAAACGGAATCTGGAATGACAAATAGGATCCCAATGCAAGGGCCTCTAGCTCAATCATCCAGGCCAGACTGGGGAGTCAGGAAAATCCTAGAAGATCTTCACTGTGAACCCGTAATCCCCTTGCGATGTGGATTCGGTTGCTGCTCAACTCCTTGTGGGAGTCATTCTCGGAGTTCATTGTTTGGGCCAGAGTTCGTCGACTATGAGAAGCCCCCCGTTTTTTCAAGCCACGAACTAATCTCTATAGCAACCGATTTAAACAACATTGCATGGATAAAGAGTGGTCTTGAGAACAATTGCGGTAGGATACCGAGCAATGCAACAGGCCAGAGAATGTCTCAAGGAGCTACTGCATGCATGCAAATAGGGACATCAGACCCCGTGCGCTTCAATGACGGACCAAACAGGTTAACAGGCATGTTGAAGGAAGTTATGCCGACTCAAATGCCTAAACAAGTGTGTACGATGCGATCTGAGTTGGAGGGTTTGAGCTAAAGATTATGATTCTATATAAGAGTGATTATATTGTTAGATTTTTTAAAAATGGTTTCTCATATTGGAGGGTTTAGGGTATAAGATGATATGTTGTTTCAGTTTTTTTTTTTATTATTATGAAAAACTCTATTTGATCTTGTGCCGAAGAGATCATGAATTTTTATGCGATGATCGTTCGTCTTTATCTCTTAATCATATGATTAGAATCATTATTGTCGGTAATGGATTTTCCTTCCAACTACTTAATCTCAGAACTTGCGAGATTTGCTGATCAATCTCTCGGAATGTTGTTGCTGCTGCAGTTGATACTGACACGACCGAGCCATGGAACGAAGCGAATGATTCTGCAGCAGCAGCAATGGCTCCCACTGCCATTCATACTGCAGAAACCCGGAACTTTTGACAAGGCCATCGGGCTTCGAAATTTCCTGCTAGCATGTATGGTTTTCGCCTTTGTAATCTCTTGGCTCTTCCACTTAACTTACCATCTTGACAGAACCAATATCCAAGCTTGCTGTACTCGTTTCGGCTACGATAGTTGAGACGGTGCTCGGTCGTGCCTCTCGATTTATGATCACGTTACATCTTTGCTTTGCCGCGACAGTTAAATCCGTAAGGATGGTGTTTATATTATTAGTATCACAGGGCTTGAACAACAAGCAATGTTACGAACCTCTGTAATATATATTTGCATATTGTATTATTTTTACGACAGTCCTTTTTGTTATTGAATGTGAAAAGGCAAGAAGTCGAGTCTTTCTTTTGGAATTTCCGATTCATTAATAGACTGATTTAGATCAGATATTGCATACAACTACAAAAATGTATAATTTTGTAGTATTAATATTTACAAATTAATATTACGTGGAATCGAATTTAAAACAAATCATCATCATCATCCGAGGAGGATTTATCGTCACATTCATCGATGTCGATGGCAACAACTTTGGAACCGTTAACCCTATTAGATTGATCATGTCTAACTCTGAATGGTAACCTTATGTTGCTCGATACGATCCCGAACCCTTCCTCTTCTTTCTTCAGATCACCGGGAGGCAGAAAGCAATCCATCGACAACCCTTTGATGTTAAAGTCGACTTCTTCTATCGTCCAAACCTCTTCCATCCTCGTCCTCGAATGGCTTTCCGAGTTCTCCCCGAACCGGAACAATGAGACACGGGTCTTGCCGGCGTGTGCAATGTTGACACCATCCACTGTTCTATAGTCTTGGATCGAGGATTCCATGGTTGTTTCCCAAAAGACGCCGTCGGAACCGGGAGATTTTATTCGTAGTAGATGGGAGTCTTCGAGTTGGATTAGGAGGCCTGTTCTTTGACTGAAGCAACCCCAGACAGTGTGACGGATGATCTCTACATTGTTGCTGCTTCTAGCTCTTAGCGTTGAAGGCTCAGCCTCTAGTTTTAGGATGAAACAGTCATCGTCTTCTATCGTCTTTTCGCCGATACAAATCGAGTTTGTGAACAAATTTGCTGTCGATCTCGGATCAAGTCCCTGGCAAGTTAAATAAAAGGGTTGTTAGTTTGTCAAGGTCATCGCATCCATACTTGGAAATTTAATTATTTTTAAGAAATAAATCATGATGTAACATGCGATTGCTTACCTGTAGGAAACGCCTGAGAGGCCTAGGGGGACCTCTAGAAGCATGAGAATGGTGCCATGGTGTCTGCCTCCAAGCCACTTTTCCATCACTGCCGGCGCTGATTTTGCATCCGGAAACCACCAGTTCCAGACACCAGAGCTCCGGCCGTTTCTGCCATAAAACGAAACCACCTACCTCTCCGCCACCGTGCCTCAAGTTCCTCACTTTAACGATCTTGTTGTTCACACTGCCTTCTCCGGCACTGAACTCCGAAGCCGCCATTCTCACTTTCCCCATCGCATACATACTGTCGATCGCACCCAATGCCTTCTCCCCGCCGACCGCCGCAATGTACTGCTTCACTATGTATTTCGCCATCGAAAATTCCTGTAATAAACAATCCCAAATTCGTAAGCACAACGGCATCATGATTCGGTAACAATAAAGTTCAAAATTTTGACTTACAATCGGGTGATCCTTGATATTTTTGGTGATGGAATGGTCATCGTTGTTAGGGTTTATAGGGAGAGGAATCAACGGAGCGCCGATGACACCAAGCAGGAGCTGAATCTCGGTGTTCCTCCCCCCGAAAACAGCCACCATGGAATGTCTTTGGTCGGGGTTCTGCTTCATGTTCATCCATGATTTCATGTTCTGCCATGAACGGTGATGATGATGATGAGTCGTCTTGTTTGGAACAAACATTTCTTCCGGGATTGGTACTTCGAGGACAGTGTCCAACCCATCTGGGATGTCATAATTTGGACAAAGTTTCCTCATCAAATCAAAGGTTTTCCTTTTTTTCTGGCACTGAAAGAGAGGAGATTTGGTGTGGTGGAAGTGAAAGAAGAGAGTATAGTGAAGAAGAGAGGATTGGGGGAGAGATAAACAAGAGAGGAGAGGAGAGCTGGTGAGGAATGAACATCAACGACTGACCAGTCGGCCCCTTTGTAACGTGGTACGCTTTTGTCTCTGTCGTGTTTGCACGCCTTGTCTCTCTCTTCCTCTGTTTCAAACGTATATATATATATATTGCATATATACTTTGTCAAATCTTGGTTAATCAAATACTGATCTATATTGTCTTGTCGTTTTTGGTTTCTAACTCCAACCCTATATTAAGCAATTAAACTTAAGGGTAAGTTATACATATGACCACTTAATTATGAAGGGATTTTGATTTAATTTGATTATCGATCTTTTAATTTTATAGATCAGACCACCTATTAATATAAATGATTAAAATTAAGTCACATACTTTTAACATCTGATGGAGGAGGTGACGTGATAGTTAATAAAATTATTATAATTATACATTTAATCCTTATTGCTTATACATTTAGTCCTTATTACTTATGTATTGTATCAATTTGGTCTTGATTTTAAATAATTCCATCTGATTGGAGGAATAAATTTATTGAATTAATTTAAATTAGGACCAAATTGATAGAATGTACAAATAATAAGGATTGAATGTATAATTATACTAATTTTGTTAATTGTCACGTCCGTCGAATATTGTCAGCAAGTGGCTCAATTGTCATCATTTAAATTAATAAGTGACCTGATTGAAAAATTGAAAGATTGATGTTCAAATTGAAATCTCTCTATAGTTAAGTGGGTTATAGGTGTAATTTACCCTAAACTTAACTAGAAATAAAAATAATTTGAATTCGAAATAATTAAAATTTAAAGGTATAATATCAAAATACACTCTTTAATGTTTGCTAAAATAGTCACATATTCTTTTTTAAAGCATTTTAACTCACAATATTTTATTTCGGATAAAATATCACTAGTTTGATGAAAACCATTAATTGACTAATGGTCTTATACTTAAAGTGATGATGTGACATATATCACATCATCATCTATATAAACATGATAGATGTCATGTCATTACTTGTATACATGTGACATGTAACACGTCGTCACTTTATACATATTATATGAATCGATTTAATAATTTAGTCTTTTATTTAAATATTGGGTAAATTACAAATTTGGTAACTAAATTTGTCTCTCTTCTATTTCACTTACAGTATTTTAAATCTTTTCAATTTCCTCACTGAACTTAATACATTGATTTTTTTTCACACAGTCGTTAAATAGTTAACGACATTAAAATGGACTGTTATATAGATGCAAAACGACGTCGTTTTGGTGAATTTTTTTTTGAAACGATATCGTTTTTAACTCCGTTAACCATTTAATGGCGGAGTGATCAAAATAGGAGAGAGAGTAAAGTTCAGTGACCAGAAAATTTCAATGTAATAAGTTTAGTGAGAAAATTAAAAAAAATTAAAGTTTAGTAAACAAAATAGGAGAGAAAGTTCAGTGATGAAATTTGTAATTTACCCTTAAATGTTTAAATTATTTTCTGTTATCTAAACTAATCTATTTTTCAATGTTTACTTAATACCGTTGTACTAAACCAATAAGGAAATGAAAACCTTTATTCAAGCTTTCATAAAACCTGGAGGTGACATTCACATTGGAGTACATAAAACAAGGGTTTGGTCCATTAATTTATTGCATTAATTAATTTTTAAGATTATGTGAACAATGGGAAAACATGACAATTTAAAGTAACCGATTATAGGGGAAAAAATGGATTTAATTGTGTTATTTTCTCCTAAAAGGAACTTCTTTTCAAAGATTGAAACTTGAAAATGAAAGCCTGGCAGATTAAGATATATAGAGCTCAACAATTTTTCAGTTAAGAGGGTCCTACAATATTTATTTTAATAGATAACTATTATTAATTATCAATCTGTTATTTCTTTTTTATCATTAAGTTACTTTTATAAATAAATTCATTAATATTTTTTTAAATCATCAATCATTAAAATGACGACGTTGATATAATTTTTTTTATTTTTTATATAATTTTTCTATCCTAGTCAACATTTACATATCTTATCATTTTTAATTATATTTTTAATTTTTATAAAAATATTCATATATATTGACATCCCATTATCTACCATCTTTCTCTCCTAAAATTTCTCCAAAAAGTTATTCACTTTTTGACAGCTACTCACCACCCAATTATTGGATCATTTTGTTTGCCATAAAAATCAAATAGTTAGGTTCACAATAATCCCTTATATATATGCATTTAACCTATAATAAAACATTAAGAAAATTACTATATTCAAGGTTATAATAAACTTAAAATGCAGTTGAAAAGTAGTGGATGTTTTAATTTAACTAAGTCTTTCATTTTTTTTAATGAAAATTATAGATTTTTTTAATTAATTACTGATATTCGATTTATAGACCGACTAATCCATATCAAATATTACAAAGATAAATACGATCCTCCTAACCCAATTTGCTTCATTCACAAACTGAGATTATTTATCTCATTTTAATAGATCTGAGATTATTTATTTCATTTTAATAGATATTTGCAATAACTCCGGTCATAATTGAATTGTAATAAAGTCAATCTTGATTGTAGGGTCATTATTCATTCTTATCACTAATTGTAGACAATTGTGTTTACTCATATTTTTTTTATTAATATAAATAATACACCATTTAAAATTCAGTTGTATCGGTATAATTTACCAACTTTTTATTATCAAATCGAAATTAAAATCTTATGATCAAATTAATTCCGGAATAGGAGGCGTTGCAGCATTTAACAACAGCAAATCTTAAGCAAAAGTTAGAGATTAATTGGATAAGAACAAAATTTTCAATTTATTTTATGAATAAAATATAATTAACACCTTTAATCACCATTGGAAAAGTAAAGCTTAAACATGGGTTTATGTCATAACATGCGCCCGACATCTTGATTGATGGTTTTTTTTTTCTAAGATATATTGGTTCTGGTTGGGGAACAATCCATATATTGTATCTTGACACGTGCATTGCTACATTTTATTAATTATTATTATTATTGTTTAGATTTTAAATTTGGAAAAAAATATTAATAGGGGCTCAAGAGAATGAACCTTGTCTCCCTTCAAATCAAATCATGTAATGCACGTTCATTGAACATGTTTAATTGATATTTTAAAAAATAATTATTTATAATTTGGATTTGATTTTTATTGCATGGCTGTGGGTTTGTTTTATTACAAAGATTCTTAATATTGAGAAAAATATTTTTAATGTCTGAGTTTGATGTAATAAGACATTCTTTGTCCTGGATTGTGTGACCTACATTATTGATCTTTGTTAGATCTTTTATAAAATTATTTTTGGATTTTACTCATGTAATAAATAATTAAGGAAACCATTATTTGTTTGTTCTTATTCTTCAATTAGTTGATCTCATATTTTTCGTTTAAATTTTATTGTAAATAAAGGTAAAAAATATATCGGTTTTGAAATTTTATTTTTATTTTGAGATATTTAAGTCGAGTTTTTCAACTTTTGAGTAGACTAAACTTTTAGTTCAGATTTTAAATCAAGTTTAAATTTATTAAGTTTGAATAATCCAAAAATTAAAAATTAAAATAATGTTGTTTTGGTCTTTAGTAGGTATAAGTATTTGATTGAATCGAGTCAAGTCTAGTAAAAGTTTCAAGTTAGTAGAGTTGAAGAATCTTATTTTAGGATTTAAACTTCATTTAAGTTTCAAGTCTAGCAATGTTATTTAATAAATCAAATGTCATCTAAAATAATAAAATATATTTATAATTTTATTTTTAAAAAATTAGATACTTTGTGAATAAAATATTGATGAGAGTATAAATGAATCAACAATTGATAGGAAGAAAGAGTTTAAAAATCATAGTAAAAAGTTAAATTGAATAAAATACAAAGTTGAGGGACTAATTTGCAATTTTTTATTAAAAATAGAAATTAAAGTTGCATAGATATTCTCTAGTGGTAGAGAAGCAAGTTATTTAAATTTGGTCAAATATAGACTTAAAATGAAAGAAGAATTATGAGTGAGTATTCGATCGGGTTTAACTGAATCGGGTTAAAAGATTTTGAGTTAATCAGTCATACTTTATTATTCAAACTTTATATGATTTTTTTCTAGTCAAATCAAATGTATGAAATTCGAGTTCAATATAGTTAATTTTTCGAATAGAATCGAGTTTTGCTCACCCTTAGTCTTTAGTCAAGTAAATTTGATTGTTTTGTTATTTAGTCTCTGTTTTTCTTGTTTCTTCAATTTCTCCTTCATTTTAATTCTATTTTGACTAAATCGAAACCATATACTCCTTAATCACCATAGAATATCTATGTAACTTCAATTGTTTTTTTTTTCACAACATATTTTATACATTTGCAATTTATTCATTCAACTTTATATTTTATTCAAATTGATCATCCAACTGAAATTATTTGCAAAAAAATTTCCTCCTATTAATTCATTGACTTCTTTGTACTTCCATCAATACTTTGTCATCAATATATTTTTTTATAAAAAAATTAACATTATAAATATATTATATAACTTTAAAGGATATTTGATTTATTGAATAACATTACAAATCTTACTTATACTTGGGAAAAATATTATTAATATGAGTATATCATATTATTAGAAAGTGTCTTTTTAATTAAAATCAATTAGTATTGTGACATTATAAATAATTACATTTAAATTTCATAAACTCAATTAAAAATATAAATAAACCTTGAATGATAAAATAATAGTTATAAACTTCACTAATTCAAATTTTTTCCATCTAATAAAAATAAATTTAGTTATAAATAAGATTTTTTCTATTGAAATCGAATTTGATATGAATGAATTTTTTTATTTAATTTATTTAGGTGAAGTAAATAGAATTTTCATTGGTGTTATTTTTAAATAAATTAATATGAAAATTGTTGGATGTAATGATGATCTTAAATTTCCTCAATCTTTGAAGTACTTATGTCAAATGAATTTAGCGTAGGAAACAAGTGATTAT